CTGGTCATTAACGCACACTGACACAGGCAACAAAATGAATGAGTGAAGGCATGCTGCTGCGTGTTGCTCTGGCAATAGCCACGTGCTCAAGTACTTCAATATGCAAAATAGAAATCTAACACTAGGGGCGCACTTCTCTGCTTGGCTTTCCTATACTTTCCTACAAGGGCAAAAGGCTCATGGGAGATCCTATCAAATAGATAATACATAAAATTGCTCAAAAAAATAAATAGTAAGCTGAACAAAAATGAACATAAAGGTGCCTTGCACCCAATTGTTTTGATAAGTGTGTTTGATAAAACAAATAATAAAACAAATAAATTGTGCAAGTTGATGTGAACCATGAGTGAGGCGTGTATCTCAATACAACAGTAAAGTATCGGAAAAACGAAGCTCACGTAGCGTGAGTGCACCCACGTGTCCCCAGAGGTACGTCTGTGTGTCCAGTCAGGCTGAGGGACGCAGATAGAAACCTCCTATAAGCATGGAAAACATCCGGCGGGCCAACATTGGCCCACGTGCCCCACTTTGGGCACCCCTATATACTGTTCTATACTGTACAACAGCTGTAATGTTCTATTTTCATGAACATATTTACATATGCACATGTACTTATTTTTCTAAATGCAATATACTGTATGTGTTGTATATTTTATTTTAACTAAATTGAAAAACAAAAATGTATGTATGTATGTGTGTGTGAGTGTGTATGTGTGCTCCTCTCAGGTCCATAAAATCACATGTGGTGTGCCCCAGGGTTCCATTTTAGGTCCAGTCCTTTTTAACGTGTACATGCTCCCTCTTGGCGGTGTCATCAGGAGACATGGAATTAACTTCCACAGTTATGCAGATGATACTCAGCTGTACATCTCCATGTCTCCTGACGACACCAGGCCAATGGATGCTCTTTTTAACTGCATTTTAGACCTGAAATCCTGGATGGCAGAAAACTTTCTCCAGCTTAACCAGGACAAAACTGAGGTTTTAGTCATCGGTCCTGAGGCCCAGAGAGAGAAACTTTTACCAAAACTCCAATCACATTCTTTTAATCCATCACCACATGTGAAAAACCTGGGCGTAATTTTTGACTCTGAGCTGACTTTTATTCCTCACATTAAGAATATAACAAAAATAGGTTTTTATCATTTGAAGAACATCGCCAGAGTCCGCCCCATTCTCTCTCGGGCCAACACGGAGACGCTGATGCATGCTTTTATAACCAGTCGCATTGACTACTGTAATGCCCTGCTCTCTGGTCTTCCCAAAAAGAACATTTCAGGTTTACAATTACTCCAAAACTCGGCCGCACGTGTCCTGACTAAGACCAGGGGGCGGGACCACATTACACCGGTTTTAAAATCGCTGCATTGGCTCCCCGTGTGTTTCAGGATTGATTTTAAGGTTCTTTTAATGGTTTTCAAATGTCTTAATGGTCTTGGGCCTTCTTATCTTTCAGAACTGCTTTTATCCTATGAACCCTCCCGGCCCCTGCGCTCCTCCGGCAGCAGACTCCTAACCATTCCAAAAGTCAGGACACACACTCACGGTGAGGCGTCTTTCCAACACTACGGCCCCCGTCTCTGGAACAGTCTGCCGGAGGAGCTCAGGGCCGCAGAGAACGTTCATATTTTTAAAGCCAGGCTCAAGACACACCTTTTTAGATTAGCTTTTGATTAGTATTTATTAGTCAATTTTTATATATTCTATTTATCCTTTATTATTTATTATATTGCTATTGCTTTTATTCATGTTTTGTGTGATAGTTCCTTTCAGGCTCACATTTTAGTGTTTTACTTATTGTATTGTTTTTAAGTATCCCCAGTGTTTCCTCTGGAGGAGCCCTCTGCGCTGGGAGCGGTGGTTGGCTGTGGCTGTGGGGGTCGGACTCTTGGACCTGGTGGGGGCCCGGGGCCTCGGTTTTGGGTCCCCTCTGGGTCCTGTGTCGTCCCCTTTGGCTATGGGCGGCTCTCTGCTCCTGGCGCTGACGGCTCCTTGGATGGCGTTTCTTCAGCCGGTTGCATCTGAACCCTGCCAAGTCTCTTATCATCGTTTTATTGTTTTATCGGTGGTGTGTGTGTGTGTGTGCGCGTGTGTGTGTGTGTGGGGGGGGGGGGGGGGGGGGGGGGGCGTTTGCTTGTGGTCTGGGGAGGGTCTGTTGGGCGGTCGGGGGGAGGGCATGGGCAGGATTGTTTTTTAGCCAAACTGTAAAGCACTTTGTGTTGCATCTGTTGTATGAAAAAGCGCTTTATAAATAAACTTTGATTGATTGATTGATTGAGTGTCTGTCTGTGCATACAGGCCAAGTCACTTACAGCTAGACCAGGACCTGGATCATTTGGTTCAGATCGGGCCAAATGAGTCTATGGGAGCAGATACAGTGGCATATCAGACCTGGATCAAGACCGGGTTCCAATCAGGCCTGGCCAGGCCTGACTTAGTAAAAGCTAGTGTTAACTCAGCTGCATTGATGTGATATATTATGTGAATTATAATTATTGAATTATATTATTAATGCCACTGTAAAGCTGTCATAAATAGCGAAATGCACAGCTTTAAGTTTATATATATGGAAGCTTACAAATATTGTGCCTGTCCCTAAGAACCCTGGAGCATCTGTACTGAATGATTATCGGCCTATTGCACTGACCTCCATCTTGTGTAAAACCATGGAGAGAACTGTAAGCAAATACATCATATCCTCTGTATCACACTGTTTGGACAACTTACAGTTTGCATACAAAAGTCGGAGAAGCACAGAGGACGCAGCCATCACTCTGTTTAACACTGTAGCCGAACATCTCCAGGCCTCTGACCACTATGCTAGAATTCTCTTTATGGATTTCACGTCAGCTTTTAACTCGATGCAGGTACATATTTTATTGAGTCGACTTATGGACCTGGGTGTTAATGGAGGTATAAGCAAATGGGTCAGAGACTTTTTATCTAATCGTCCTCAAAGAGTAGTGCTTGGTTCTGATATCTCAGAAGTGACTGTCTTAAATACAGGTGCGGCTCAAGGGACAATTCTGTCTCCTTTGCTTTTTTCTATTTATACTAATGCATTTCAAGTTCATGAGGAATATTTTAAACTTTTTAAATATGCCGATGATATGGCTCTTGTTGCCTTACTACAGAAAGGGAACACTGTTTTGGAGAGTCTATATTTTAATCATTTGTCCATGTTACAGCAGTTGTGTGTGGACAGCTTTTTAGAAATCAATGTTTTGAAAACAAAAAAGCTCATTGTGCACATTGATAAAGAGACATTGATAGAAGTGAAGATTCATGGTGCCAATGTTGAGATGGTCGATGACTTCAAATACCTTGGCACATACATAGATGGGAGACTTACCTTTTCTACGAACACAGACTTCATTTTTAAGAAATGCTCACAGCGACTGTATCTGCTTCGCAAACTGAATAATTTTGGTGTGAGTCGTTCTATCCTTGAGACGGTCTACAAGAGCCTGGTGGAGAGCATCCTCACCTTTAACATGCTGATGTGGTTTGGCAACCTCAGCATGAAGAACCAAAACAAACTCCAAAGGATCGTGAACCAGAGCTCAAAGATCATTGGGCAGCCACAAAGATCTCTCCAGTGTTTGTTCGAGGAGCGCTTGGGAAAGAAGGCTGAGCTCATCATTAAAGATGCTTCCCATCCGCTAAACCCAAAGTTTGAACTTCTGCCGTCAGGACGGAGATATTGAATGATATCAGCTAAGAAAAACATTTTTAAAAACTCCTTTGTGCCCAGAGCAGTGAAAGCGGTAAACACCCTTAAGCTTTGAGCAGTCCTGAGCTTGACTTGTTTAGGCCGAAGGTGGCCTTGTTGGTTTGTTCTTCCAATTGTTCTGTGAATGTAGTGCCACATGATATTGTGCTGGATGTGTGTCTTTTATGTATTTTAAGGTGATAACCAAAGGCAATTTTCCACCTTGGTGGACAATAAAGTTTTCTTATTCTTATTATTCTTATATAGCTGCCTTCTAACAGAATGTCTGGATGTCTTCATAAAGCATTTCTTCATTTGGATTCATGTCAAAGTCCTGAATGCTCGCCTTTCTTTTTTAAAATGGCACTAAACGGTAGAGAGTATCCAGCCATAGATACTGTATATATATAATATAATAATATTGTGTCCAGTGAACCGTGAAGAGTAAATTCAGAAGTGATGTTTTTGGAAGACCAATAACAGCCCTCGCTCTACCCGAGTTGACAGAGTTGGTCTTTTAATAAATCCTGGGATAAGAAACGTTTTTAATAATGTTCTCAATACAATGATGTACAGATTTTATATATATATATATATATATATATATATATATTATTTTGAACATGCTGGTCCTCTATTTTCCCTTTTTTCACAGAATGACAAATGTTGGTGATTACAGATGTCTGAAATCTGAGTTTAATAATATACGGCAGTTGTCATATTAGCAGCATGATCCCTAATGTTGATCATATTTTGAAGCAAAGAGCACATATAAATTTCTCTTTCAGTTTTTGCCTGAACGTTTTGTCTCTCAGCCCATACACAATAGGGCTGATGAGTCTGGGCATGATTTGAATAAATATGTAACATGTGAATATGACATTTAAAAAATGTCTGGGGAACAGGTAAAGAAAAAATCCTACTATGAAGTGGAAAACATAAGTCAGCATGCACAGAATCAGTTGAAAAGCATGAAGTAAGATGGTGTTTCTGGCCTTCTTTTCTTCTCCACGTGAGGACTTGGCAGCTTTAGCCACAACAAATATATGGATGTATGTGTAAATGAGTACAAGCCATACTGCTACAAGGTACAGGGTGTACAATACCTCACGCTTTTTAGCGCTGACTGGATGATTAAATATGTTGTTTTCTATGCAGGTTACAGTAGACCAAAAAAACTCCCTTGGCTCTGTAGCTATGATAAAAAATATGTCAGGCAAAATTCCAATTGAACTCATGCTCCAAATCCATGCGATCAATATGTATGTCGTCTTTATGGTGCACAGTTCTACATGTCGTAATGGAAAGCAGATGGCGATGTAGCACTCCACTGCCATGACCGCTAAGTTGACAGGAGAGTTCAAAGTGGTGAAAATGGTTAAAGCTAAGAATATAATGCAAAGAGAGGTATTGATGTAGAACAGGTAACTACTGATGTGCAAGATGACTGTCACAGTGAGCTGGATCATATCGTTGATCACAAGATGAATGAAGAGGATGTAGCGAGGCGTGGTGTAGAAGATCTAAAAGAGAAAAAAAGATTGATAAGAGTCATTGGTTCATCATCACATGGCACAGATATCAGTCCAATATAACATTCGTAGTATTTAGATTACAGTATCATTGGAAAATACTGCATATAAATTATGGGGTCTCCTAGAATTTTTTTAACTTATTTTATTGGATCTTTGGTACACATTTTTATTGCCAAATGCGTCTGGCAACCCTGCTTTGGTGTAATCTTCTGTATATGTGTAGAAGTAGTTTATCTCTGCAACCTCAAAGTTTTTTGTCTGTTCATGGATTGTTTATGGATATGATGTCTGCACCATAGTTACATTTTCTTTTTCAGTATATTTTTTTAATCTTTAATAGCAAAGGTTGTGTTTCTTTATTGCAAACAAATGAAAATCCAATATTTGTGACTTATTGACCTGATGCTTCGAGAAGGTGTGGACGAGCATTCCGTTGATGCTGTTTATAGTTAGGCCCAGAGCCAAAACGATCATGTTCTTGGTCACTGCCACATGGTACGGTTCACGAGTGGATACCAGCGATCCGTTGTGACTGACACTTGGCTGATTCATTGTGGTTTTCTGAAAGAGAATAAAAGAATGTGTATTATATTTTTTTGATAATAATATACACACACAAAAAATAGTATCACAAGTTTGTTTAATTGACGTACTGTTTCGAGCTAAACTCCAGCAGGTAGATTCCAGGAGTAATCAGTTCTCAGGAGCAAAATATTTCACAAGATTCTGGCAACAAAAGTGTGTTTGGAATTGCAATGACCCTCGACAAGGTCTGGGCCGAATTACAAAAATGAGTAAAAGTGGTATTATTTTATTTTAATATTTTTGTTATTATGGAGATAAAAGCTAATTTCATTTAACCTTATAATTGGATATTCTTTTCTGGTTGCGTTTTCTTAACAAATTGAGTTCAGTTTGGATTGAACCAAAATTAGAAAATTATTTGAAGACTGAGCATTTTTTCATATTTAATTACTCATTTAAATGCTATGGTTGTTGTCTTGAGGAAATGTGCTTTGAAAAGATGCATTCATAACATGCCATAGCAGCCTCTTCCCAACCATGCTGCCAGTTATTAATAATTTTAAATCCTTTCAGGGGCCACAAAAAATCTTTGACATCACTCTCTCCTACCAAACCTCTTTTGATTAATTTATTTGAACATAGATCATGTGTTCCCCAAACCCACTCTGCAGCCTTTATCAACAATGCAAAGAAACACAAAAAATACTTCTACTTCTATAGTGATTTGCACAGAAAAACAAATATTTATTTCTAATCTTCCTTATTGTTTTGAAATAATAATGATTTCAAGGCAAACAACATTTCAAGGCACACTGCCACAACACCCTGATAGAAAAACACTGATGTGATATTCCCAAAAAGAAAGTAAGAGATAAGAGATCCTTTACTTGTCCCACAGTGAGGAAGTTTCAATGTTGACGCGCACAGACAGGACAGTAAAAGCACACAGGGAGCACGCAAAATATACAAAATAAGTAGTAGCTATGTTTCTTAGCTCGCTGTAAATAATTCAAAACCAGTCTTTCAAAAAAATATATATATATAAGTGGTGCGGAGTTATATACTGTACATATACACATATATGGCAGGAGGATAAATATATTAAATGACATGGTTCAGTGGACATTCTGAAGTTGCAGTATTGCACATGATTATAGTATTTACTTATTTACAGATGAATGACATTTACAGGCTCAGCAGTTCTCATTGTACAGTCTGACAGCAACAGAAAGGAAAGACCTGCGGCACCTCTCCTTCATACGGAGACGTGTATAAGTGAAAAGCAGTAGGAACAAAAGCAATTTTCTTGCTTGGACTAAAAACGTTTGCTTTGACCCTCATAAAACATAACCACATCTATATCTAACACATGCATGTCTTTTTGGCTTCTGTCACATCTTCAGATCAGCCTCAGCGCACGTCATGGTCTGACTTAAACAAGACTCTTGTTTAAGTCAGACAACATTATTATTTATATTTATAAACAACTGCAGTTTTGAGTTTAAAACATCACATAGATAATACTATCAATAAGATCAATACTTTGAGTTCAACTGAGGGTTTTGTTTCCTTTTCTCATAATGTTGTCAATAACAGTCAATAAAACAATAGTTCTAAAACAATAGCTGATAGTCAAACAATAGTTTATAGAAATAGTTCTAATATTTAAACTGGCATTAAATTACATTTTACTTTCTCAGCCTTTCTTACCTACAGTGAAACCCAACATGTGTTCCTCAGGTCCACAAGAGTCTCAGCTCCTTCCCTCAGGACTTTTATAGGAGAAGAATCTTAAAAAAGGGAGGGGCTGACATATGTCAGGAGTTGTAAATCTTAACCAATAATCATTGTTCATAATAACTTAATATTTGAAGTTGTGATTAAGGCTAAAGTGTAAAGGTTTATCTTGGTGTTACATAATAAAGTATATTTTATCTTATCTGTGTTGGTCAAACAACAATTATCGATAGATAGATTATACTCATCCGAGAGATCCTTGTCAACATCAGCTGATTAGCTGACATTTATTTAAAATGTTATTGTAAAATCTAGTCTTATAACCCAGGATGAAACAGTGTCCATGAGCTGACAGCAGCTTTTGAGGAGATCCTCTCTCAGTAGATGTGTTTTTTTCAACGTTGTTCCAGTTGGTAGTTGGCATAAAATAAAATAAAATAAAACCCTGGTTTCACAGGAGGTTGTAACGGGTCCGTGGGCTGTGACTAAAGTGAATATTGCTCTGTTCTGTTATTTCTGATTTTCTTTCTAATAAATCTACTCGTGCTGTCAAATGATTACATTGCATTAATGGAATAGTTAACGCTCATTAAATCTGAGTGGACCAAGACAGAAAAAGATTTATTTGATTGGCGCATTGACCAAAGCAGTGACACTTGCAGAGGGGAGATCGTCTGCTGATGATCTCAGACCCCGGGGTCAAGCACTGGTGGTGGCTAGAATCATGGTGTGAATGGGGTGCAGGAGCCAGGGCAGGAGCCAGGGCAGGAACCAGAGCCGGAGCCAGGGCAGGAGCCAGAGCAGGAGCCAGAGCGGAAACCCGAGTAGAAACCAGGAGCTGAGGAGGTGCTAGGGAGGTGGTGGGTGTTAAGAGCTTCAGAAAGCGCTGTTTATTGGAGATGGCTGCTTTTAAACTGCCCGCTTTGCTGACAGTGGCCGGGCTGTGTGATTGGTAGAGGCTCGAGAAGCTATCGGCTAGCTCCGATAGCTTCTCTGCGGAGACAGAAGTAGTGACGTAGCCCGTTCTGAGGAAGTGTACAAACTACTGTCTGGAGTAATCTTTGAATTTTATCATCGAACCCACGGCCATTAGGTCCTCAGTCCAATGCTCTAACAACTGAGCTACTGTCGCCTCCATTCTGATTCATTAAAAGAAAACTCCGACCTAATCAAGCCTTGACGTCACATAGACAGTCGAGTAGGGGAGTCTGGGGGCCATGAGTATTTTTAGCAATGGGAAATTAGACAAACATTCGCAGACAACTGATTAAAAATCTCACTGAGCGGCAGGAGATAAAGAACAACGAGAATGGGGGGACTGGGGGACAGAAAATGAGGTGGAGCCCCCCAGTGTTTGACACTTGACACTAGTATTACTGTGAAATAATAGAGAGTCTGTGTCATGCATAGAAACATTTTCAGACGAGAAGGCTAAAGTCTGTGATGGTGAGAAACTATCATGGAGAATCAAATAAAGCTTCTCATAATTTATCTCACTTCAAACTGTTTGAATTGTTGTTTCTGCCAGCTTGGTGTCATGTATCTGATATCTACTGCAATGCATGACGACACTCATGTTGTCTGACACATTCTGAGTTATTGGGAAATGAGTGGGTTGCATCTTTCAAATTTTAAAAATAAAGTTACATCTCTTGGTGAGCTGCCACAAAATGAAGGCTATGATAGCTGGCTCCAGATTGCAAGAGGCATGGAGATTTTATGAGAGTTACTTACACGGTAATGCATACTCTGATTACTAAACACATTGCTGCTTAACGATTAACATGTTTTAAAATTATTTTCTTCAACATAAGTAACGTATACACTCATCATTCATGATATTATTAAAGATGATCAAAGTTCAAAGCAAATTTCACATAATTTGCTTTTTCAATCAATCAATCTTTATTCATAGAGCACTTTTCCTACACAGGGCAACACAAAGCGCCTCACAGTCCACACCACACCAGGCACAAATCATCACCATAAAAAATACAATTAAAATCACACAGGTAATTAAAACAAATTATAACATTAAAATCACACAGGAAATTAAAAACATTAAAACATTAAAATCACACAAGTGATTAAAACCATTTAAATCACACAAAGGATTACAATAATGAATAGCACGGTGCATTAAAAACATAAAAATTCCTCAGTTGTATGTATAGGCAAAAAGAAAAGTTACCTGGATTTGAACATCGCCAGAGAGGCAGCCAGTCTCACATCCTCAGGAAGACTGTTCCAGACCATAGCTGCATGAATCTGAAAAGCAGCCTCCCCATGTCTAGTTCTGACTCTGGGCACTAACAGGAGTCCTGTCCCTGTGCTCCTCAGAGTCCGGGCTGGTTCATATGGCATTAACAGGTCATCGATGTACTTTGGTGCGAGGCCATGGAGAGACTTGTACACAACCAGAGCTGTTTTGAAGTCTATTCTCTGAGCCACAGGAAGCCAGTGCAGAGACCTGAGAACTGGACTAATGTGATCATACTTCCTGGTTCCTAGTCAGGACTCGAGCTGCAGCATTTTGAATGTACTGCAGCTGTTTTACAGCATGTTTGGAGATACCTGTGAGCAGGCCATTGCAGTGGTCTAACCTACTGGAGACAAAAGAATGAATACAAATCTCCAGATCTGCTTTAGACACAATATTTTTGATTTTGGCAATATTTTTCAGATGGTAAAAAGCTGCTGATGTTACCGATCCAATGTGGCTATTGAAGTTTAAGTCTGAGTCCATTATTACTCCCAGATTCTGACCTTATCTAAAGGTTTTAGGGAGAGAGACTGAGGTGAAAAATGACAGTCTCTCTTTGTTTCTCGGGACCAAAGACAATAATTTCATTTTTTATCTGCGTTTAGCTGAAGAAAGTTGTATCGCATCCACTCACTGATCTGTTGGATACAGTGAAGGAGTGAGTCCACTGGTCCATGTTCACCTGCAGACAGTGAGACATAGATTTGAGTGTCATCAGCGTAATTGTGGTAGGACACTTTCATACTTTGAATTAACTGACCTAATGGCAGCATGTAGAGATTGAACAGAAGAGGTCCCAGGATCGACCCCTGTGATACTCCGCAGGTCAGGGCCATATGATCTGAGACGCAGTCTCCAATCTCCACACAGTATTTCCTTTCTTCTAGATAGGACCTAAACCAACTTAGGGCGGTGCCAGCAACACCAACCCAGTCCTCTAGTCTCTGCATGAGAATCTCATGGTCAACGGTGTCGAAGGCGGCACTCAGATCTAACATGACTGCAACAGAGACTTTTCCTGCGTCAG